ACTCTATTCTCCCTCTTCCTCCCCACTCCTGCCCCTTTTTTCCTTTAGGATTGGTTACATGCTGGGTTTAGGATTGGTTCCGTGTTGAACCAAAAGGAAATGTAGTCTAAAATTTCTTAAATATTTAAAAACTTGTTAACTGATTATCTGCTCAGAGGTAAAAATAAGAAGATATTTAATAACCACATCCTGGAGGCTTTGTGCATATTTTACAGCAGCTTTTCAGTCTAACAAGACTAACTAGAAATATGTACTTGCCATTTCAAAGATTTATTCTCACAAGCACCTGATACGTGTAAAGTAGAAAGCAAGTCTCATGAGACAAGTACCTCCTGCTCTCAGAAGCGCTCTGCTTCACATTTACTGTTCTCTTTGTTTCCTTAAAAACAAATGTAATTTGTCTTTTCTCTTGCCAATCCCATTTGTGAATTTGAAACTAAATGGCACTTGTATGGTATCATTCTGTATGGCATCACTTCATTGATGGAGAGTTACGCATGCAGAAAATGTCAGACTTTCCCCCTGCAGAAACTCTATTCTGCACAATAGCTACTTTAGGTATATAATATATATGTGCACTTCTGCAAAATCTTGTTTGAGAGGTGCATTCATATGGCATGCACTAATATAAGTGACAAAAGATTCATTAATGTCAAGTTCTGTAAACAAACCACTCCAAGGAATTAACATTAACACTTAATTGTATGTTTTTAGCATGTCAGACACGTCACAGAAAAAAGAACTTGAATTGTGATTATAGTAATTAATTTTTCTCTCCTGTTTGAAGCATGCCAACTTATTATGGTATTGAGGATGATAGATTCTGGCCTGCCATTTTATTTCATCTTATATTTACATTTCCATATGAAGAACTGTTACCAAAAGATGTTAACAGGATGAGATCTATATACAAACATATATTTAAGTATGACCACTATCTTTACATTAAGATCTGAAGGTCTTTAGAAAAAAAAAAGGGGGGAAGATTAGGCAAGAAAAATAAAGCAAAACAGAGATTCTGTCCTCAAAATCAGGTAGGTCTAGAAATCACAGTGCTGAAAAGCAGGATTGTAGGGATGCGTACCAGTTAGAAAAAAGAAAATGTAATTTTTCCATCTGCTGTTAGTCTGACCATCTTTGCTTCAGTTTTGCTGTATTAACAGTGTGCCCAAGGTGAGTGGGTGGCTGAACTTCCAGTTCTGTGTCATTCTTTCTTTCCTGTTCTGAAGTGGAAATTTCTATATTTTGACATACAACATAAAGGGGGAAAAAAAGCGAAAAAAAATGAAAAAAAAGGAAAAATGGAAAAATACTGATTCAGATGATGGGAAACTATTTCCAAATACTGTTACCGAAAGCACATATTCAAGTGCACTAATACAGTGTGGTTTTATCAATAAGCCCAAGAGGCTCCTTCTTTGCCGCCACCCCCTTCCCCGATCTCGCGCTCTGCCTGCCTGATCCCATCCGACAGTAGAGCTGATACCGCACTAATCCCCGCAAGTTTGGGACTAATGAACTAACTGCTGGGCTGCTGCCACGGAGCTTGGTCCCAAACTATACTGTACTTCACACTCGATTTATTCTCCAGATGGCGAGACTGCGCAGCCCTGCCGCGAGGGACCACCTCTTCCACTGGAGTGTAAAAGTGGACGGATGTTGTTTTCTTTGCAGATTTGATAATTCAGAGCTACAAACTCATGAGGATGGTTAGTTATTAGGTTTAATGGGTGCCAGTGGAGCCGGCAATGTGCGTTTTCCCATTTTTAATTTCGGTGTCTGTGTGTTTGGGTAGCAATGGATTTGTCAGCAATGCTGCGTCACCTTTATCTTCACCAGTTGGCGTCGATGCACGTGGTAATGAACCTCTTCCTATGTCCTCCTCAGAGTTAAACAGAAGGGGTGCTAAAGTAGCCACCCTGACCAACCTTTTTTTCCCCCTCAGTGAGCTTTCCAGAATAAGTTGCAAATTTAGAGTATTTTAATGTATCACTATTTACCAGGAAGCTCTCTGTTGGCTTTCTCTCTTGATCAGTTTGATAAAGAACCCAACTCACATGGGACCCAAGGAGGATACCACCATCCCAAGCTACCTGAGCATGAAATATTTTACTTAATGATATGGTTTATTTCTTTATCAGCTATTCTTTCCTGACAAAGTGTTATCTGATGTTGTAGTTCTCATGTGAAGAACAGGGCAAATATTTTTCTCACTGTTCCTTAAAAATTCTGTTTTTCCCGTTCTTGGCAGTAAGGATATCATTGTATCAATGACTACTTTTTTCTCTGTTGTAATGTTGAAGAAGTTTACCTAGGTTAGGATTTTAGCTTTTGCAAGAATTCTACAATAAGAAGAGCATCTACATTTCCCTGCTTAATGAGGCAGAAAGGGATCTCTCGTTTCCATGTTTTTTAATACATTTGGTCAAAGGTTTTAGTATATATTTTTTTTTATTTACCCATGAAATGTTTTAGTGGAAATCTTTATGGGAACCTGATACTCCCCACTAACATCAGTTGGATTTCCTCCATTGTAGGAAGGATAGGCACTGAGTCAACCCCCTCACAAACTCTGGCTTTGGCAGCCAGGTCAGATCAGTTTGTTCCACATTTAAAAACATGAATTGATTCTTGCTGTGGAAACTATAGTGACTAGAAGTATTATATCATGGAAAGGAAACGTTTCCATTCCTGGGGTATCTAGGCAGACAGATCTAAAACATAGCGGTTCTAAGAAAACGCATAAATTCTCAACCCAACAGATGGCATGGGTGTGTTAACTAACATAGCAACATATTTTCTATTAAAATATGGGAAAAAACAACAACCCCCTCCCCATGTTTGTTGGTTGGTATAAATTCAGTGAAGTTGTTGGTTATTTTTGGGATACGTACCAGAGGGCTGCACATTTAGTTTATGTAAATTGATAACAGCAACAGCCTGTTAATAAGTGTTTTGTATGGAAATATACCTAGAAAGACACGATCTGTCTTTTTTGGGAAGGGAGTTTGCAGACTGAGGAGAAAAATAGATATGAGATGGTCTAGTGCTCATTATTATATTCTGAAAAAAATTCATAACAAATTAGGCTGCAAGTTTGCTGGAGATGTGCCTTAAGCTGGAATTGAGTGCTGCCTTAGAGGATACTTTGGGAAGATCTCTCTTTTGCAAATTGCATCAGTATATGCTGAAATGGTGATAATCTGACTTTAATTAAAAGCATAAATTTATTTGGAGTATGTTTTAAAGCTACCCTTCTGCATCGTGTCCAGAAACTTTCAGCCCAGCCCTCGAAACCCATTACCCCAGGTCAGAGAAGGAAAACACTGGGGATTTGTATTTCCCAGTATTGGCATCATATGGTTGGGTTTACCTAATTTGGAAGAGCCATTTCAGACAGCCATGCGCCGGAGCTGTCTTCCAGCTGGACGTGCTTGTACTAAACTGCCTGCATCTTTATGTGGCTTTCCTAATGGCCCCAGACAGAGTCCATTCACAGCAGTTCAAATGTTTTGGGTTGCATTTTCCAGAGATTACCTCTGAAGGCGTCCCTTGATCGCAGCCCAGGGATGCCTACATGGGCGCCTTGTTCCTGTCTGTCCGATTAACGGGCATATGCTCCCAGCCTTCGGAGGAGCACGGCTAGTAGCCCCAAGCTGAAGGCTGTTCGCTTCAGATTTCATTAACTTTCTGCTTCATTATTCCTTCCTTTTAACCAGTTAGAGCCACCAATTGCTTTTCTCTAAACTTACCCTAATTATCAGGGGTCCCAGCCCTGTAAATCAGTACACTGCAGAGCTGTCTTAAACTGGCCTGGGAGACCCTGTTCTCATCGGTCCTGACAACTGTAAGCTACTGTTCCCTCACACTGTTTAACTCAGACCACATTGGGAAACCGCCTCTGCCCCTCTTGCTGGCAGAGGTTTGCATCCGTCTGGTTTAAATCTACTGTCATGTGCTCTCTTGCTGATTTGTATTAGCCTGGATATTAACTTTGATGATTTTTTTTTGTTTTTTCCCCTTGAGTTTGCCTGTTTTCTTGAAAAGCATCTCTATTCAGCAACTGCATATTGTTAAATTCCTCAGCCTCCATGAGTCAGGAGCTTTAAAGTTTTATTAGCCCCATAAAAACTCTTCACAAATGAAATGACTTTTGATAAGTGGGCATTTTGACAATGCAAATTTGTTAGGGGCTGTTGGTGAGTGGAAGGAATTTGGGGTTGAAACTTCAGTTGGCAGGAAGCAGGGAGCCCAGCACCTTCTTTCGACCCCTACCCCCTTCTCCAGGAGAAGATACGCATTTCATTTCAGAAAAGCATGCCAGTATTCTTCATGCAAATCAACTATTAAATAGATTTGTGAATTTACATTCACAAAAATAGCAAATGACCAGGGGAAGTTTGTGTCTTTGGAGATTTTATTTTGTGCCAACAGAATACCCTTTTATGTGGTCTAAAAAAAACCTTAGAGTTATTTCAGCCTTGTTTGTATATGCAAGTTGTGAATTCTGTTACTGCCTTTAATGCACTTCGAATACATGAAGTAAAGAAAAACCAAAGAAGTATATATACATCTGAAATTTTTGATGTTCAGTTAATATAGAGCTAAATTACAAAAATTGTTTTATGAAAATTTAAGAATATTCCATTTTTGAAAGAGCAGACAGTGCAACACATTATGTTAGCATAAAGATTTGTGTTTGTTACACATGTTCAGCACTAGCAGACACAAAAATCTTGTTTTCTGCAAGTGGTAGAAACCCTATGCATTGAATTTACCAGTTACAAAGAAACAGTAAAGAAGAAGGTAAAATTGTTAGGTTCTGATGATGACTGCTTCAGTAAAGTCCAAGAGTGACAGACATTTTCAGCACACCATTATACTGGCTGTGTAGCTTTTCCCATGTCATTTCAACAAGTTTTCTTCTCAGTGCATTTTTCTGTCAATAGAAAATATGCTTTCTTTTTCTTTTCTTGTGCATCGGATCTCATATTTTGTAGAGAGAAGCAAGACTGACCATAGTGAAAATGCTTGAAGAGTTTGACTTTGGCCATGCTGAAAAGTGTGTCAGGATAAACTCTGTGTCCAGCGGCCTTGCAGAAGAAGATTTAGAGGTGCTTTTGCAGTCCAAGACTCTTCCTTCAAGCATGATGTTGCCAAAGGTTGAAAATGTTGAGGAAATAAGATGGGTGAGTACCAACAACACAGTAGCTTTTGACTGAAGCTGTTGGGCCAGGTTCACAAAGGCGCAGAGATGAATGACTATGAGTTAAGAGGAAGGCTGCAAACACCACATGATGTTGTTGCTTGGCTGAGGTAATTGGGAAGTGCATCCACTTAAATGTGTGTGTGATGTGCTGTATAAAAAGCATATATGGAACACATTTATAAAGAAAACCAGGTGTATTTCTCCCATGGCTGACAAAGATCCAATATTGCTGTCAGAATATATTATCAAAAGTAGAAGGGTAAGTTCCTGACTCTTCTCAGACTACCATAACAAGCAAAATTATTGTCTGTCCAAGAGCCTTAGTTATGTGCATTGGAAGCAGGAGATGGGAAACCATGTTAGCAACATATGAAAAAATGGGTTGGGGGGAAGGTCACTCCTTGGGGCAACTGGGGGAACAAACAGGAAGCTTTTAACTAGTGTTTTTAATTAGCACAGATATTATTTCCTGACCAGTTCTCTACTTCTTCCTTTTTAATTGCTGACAGGTGTGTTTGTGTTTCACAACTGACTTTTCAGCCAATAAAAACCTGAAATGTAAATGGTTGGCATGTCAAATTACTTAAGAAAACTTTGAAATAGGCCTAATTATGCTATAATTGTTTTAATTGTCAAAAAAGAGGGATGCTTGTTTGGATATACCATTATTGCTGTAACACACCAGCAAAGGAATAATGCTTAATTATTCACTTCATATTTTTGCAAACCGCTAGCTGAGCAACTAGCACGCGTGCAAGCTGTGATGAAAGGCAGGCAGGCATATTAGGATCTATTTTAATCTCAGCATCTAACCTTGATCAAACCATGGAGATGGGCCTGGGCACACAATGGAGCATAGCCCCAGATGTTGGGTGTGTGACAGGGCCCGTCCATTCTGTGGCGCTGCCCCTTCAGCCTCCACCACTCGCCATGGAAGGTTCACCATCCCCTTCCACCAACGGGTAATTAAATTAACCAGAGTGCACCTCTCAGGGTTTACAGCCATGGAAGTGTTAGATGTAGCTTGTCAGTGATGAATATTCATGATACCAAAATGGCAGAGCCCTTGCTGCCACCAAGTAGGTTTTGCAAGGAGATGGGATGCCAGGGCTCTTTGTCCCCTCATCCTCTTCCACTTTCCATCTCACTAACTTTTATTTCTGTCATGGAAAACAAGCCAGCCCCAGAAGCTTCTGCCTTATTGTCCTTCTTTTGCTTCGCTCTCCTTTTGCCCAACCTTTACACACAAAGAACATGCTCTGCCTAACGCCACTGCCTTCTTTTCCCAATCTTCCAAAAATTTACTCCAGCATGATTTTTCAGCCTCCCAGAAGCTGTTTCTTTCCCCCCACGCACACCCGCTCCCCCCCTTCATTTTTATTTATGTGCAGCAGAAAACCTGGAGGCTGATGCACAACTAAAAGATGGGCTTACTTGTTTTCTTTTGTGTGAGAATCTCTTGCTTTCCTTTTGTCCCTAGTGTGGGTACTTGTTTGACTGGCATGGCTTATTGGACTATAACAAGCGTAACTCTCCCTCCTTTGTGGCGGGACAATTCTCCCACAAATCCCGACCAGTGTGCATTCTTCCCGACACACTATTGGGTGTGCACTGGAATTGAAAGAATTGCTGAGGCCTTGCTACTTCATCCCCTCCCCAAGCTTTGTGGGTTTTTTTTTTCCTCCGCCTTCTTTTTTTTTTTCCCTTTCTCCCTGAAATGAACACTTTACCGGGCCGGAAACATTTAATCGTCTCCTTTTGAAAAAAAAAAAAATTAATTGAAACTTCTCCACTCGTTACCTTTTGTATTGGTGCTTATTGCAAATCTTTTACAAGGGAGAGGAAGGGAGGCAATATTTAATTAAATGTGCTTTTTTTTTTTTGCTTTACCTTAAAAAAATATATATAGCAAGAATTCCAGGAGTGTGACTTTTTAAATATTTTAAAACAAAACAAGAACTCTGCTCTTTAACTTGCACCTAAATATGCACACAGTAGCACTTTTTACTTGTTTTTTCCTCTTAAAAAATTAAAAACCAAATAGGAGTCTTAAGAAGATATGTTGATATCATTATATTACCTCATTTTCTTCATTTGCCTGGGTGAACTTTACTGTTTTCTGTCACTGTAGTACCCTGCCATACTGTACAGAGTGAATTGAATTGATTTTTTTTTCCTCCTTGCACATTTTTGAGTGGAATTCTCTTCATTAAAGAAAAGTTACCAAGAGGGCCATAGTGATGATGCAGAGCAGAGATGGGAGGGCAGAATTCTTCATCGGAGAAAGCTGTGATTTATTTTGGCCTAATTGTAAAGTTACTGCAAATTGCTGGAAAGCTTTTTTTTCTTCAAGATCTGGGTGATTAGATTTTCCTTCTTTTGGGGAGGGGTGGTGGGGGGAAGCTAAAAGGGGAAATAACACCTCTAATCCAGCTTCTGGTAAATAGGCTGCCAGCTTTTAAAATGAGTTTCCTTTCTATTAGTCAGAATATTATGCTAAGCCTTAAGCATTAGTTTTTTATGTTGCCATAGCAGCCTTATTCCTGCAGGGTTGTGACCTGCGATGATTACAGTACAAAGCTTATAGGGTCTTGAAACCCCCTTTGAAGATGAAAAGTCTTTGATGGTTTATATTTATGCAAATCTCTTAGATATGATTTACCCAACTGAGACTGAATGGAGAGATGATTAAAATTCCCTTTCCTTTGATATCCATTAATAGTCGAATATTCCTTAAATTTAAAATATATGCATATGTGATTTTTTGTCTTTATTTACTAACATTTTTGCAGTACCTGCAATATGTTTATCTTGACGTAAATTACTCAATCTGGACAGACATAATACATTTACAATATAGGGCTGAAGGTTTTTCCCCCTTTTTTTTTTCCCTTTTGAAAGGGGAAAAATCTGTGCAAGAGCTTTTGTATGTTTCCAGATGATAGATTTTGGAATTTGGGCTACCCCACTGGCAGCTCAGAGCTAGCTGTGAACTGGTCTCATGGAAAAAATTGGCAAGCTTTGGTCTTCAAAGAATTAAACTTCCTTTTTAAGGCCTTCCTAGGTAAGCTAAAAAATTATGAAGAAAAGCCTATTGAACAAAAGGGTAACGGTGCCGTAATGAATAATACGGATGCCACTTAGAAGGCTGGAGAGCGCTTCCAGTGATGGCAGTGCTGGACCTGAAACAAAACCGGACCTCAGGTACAGCAGCACTTCATTGTTTTCCAGAGCCCACGGATTTGCATTTCACTAAGCCAGGGTGAGAGGTGCTAAGCTTGGATTTTTTTTTTTTAATTTTTTTTTCCTTGCAAACCAGCCTCCAAATTTAGAAATGTATGGGAATGCTGCAGTTTCAAATCAGAGGCCTTGTTAAAAGCTGTTTTATTTTTTTAGTTTTCAGGTTTTGGGGTGGGGAGGGGTGTTTGTTGCAGTCAGGTTAATATTTGCCGTGTTGTGTATACATGTAGACTGTTCTTTTTTTTTTCCCCTCTGATAGCTCATTCTGTCTAGTTTTAGTTTTCAGACAAATTCTTACATCACCTAAAAGGCCGAACACTTGTAGAACCAATGAATTTTATCCCCTTTGTGGAAACTGCAATGGGCTTGCTCAATTTTAAGGTAAGAAAGTCTTGAAGTATTCATATTTTGCTGTCTCAGCAAACTAGGATAAGCAGAATACTCCTCAGTATCTCCATAATTTCACGAAGGAAAAGGGGTTAAAAAATACAAAACTTATTGTTCAATCCCCAAAAACATTTGCACATTGAACTATGATGTTTGTATAGTAAAGGCCTTCATAAATTCCAAATAATCCAGTGACAGAACAGTTCCAGATAGTCCACACTAAATAACAAAACCTCTCTTCATTCCTGTTATTCTTTTGAACACACTTGGAGTGGAAATGGGCCTCTCTGAAGATTTGGAATAATCAGTGTTGCAGGCTATTTAGTAGCTGTCTAATGCAACTTTTGTATAACATTTAACTTGAAATAAGAGTTAATCATCATTTCACTGTTGCAAAACTTACATCTTTATAATGGTTTCTACTAATAACATTACAATCAAATTCTATGTTATCATTTCTTTGTGTGTATGATGGAGTGCTTAATGCTAAGATTAGAAACAGAACTATATTTGAATATACTTGAAGAACATGCTCATTTTTTAGGGTCATTTTGGACCAAATCTAATTTATAAATATCATTTTAATATAAATCACTCTCCAACCCTTACTATCGAGTCCAGGTTTTTCAGAAAGGCAAGGCAACGTGGTAATGAAACGGAAGAACTCGTGCAGGCACAAGGAATTCTGCGTTCCCCTCCCAAGCTCTAAGGGAAAAGTTTCAGACCAGCTGAGGACACACAGATCAGAAGTACCTCCAGAAGTACCTCACAGGCAGCCAGATCGTTTGATACAGCCATTTATCTCACAGCACACACTAACCTATCTGCGAGCACGATAAAGCAGTAACCAAATGGACACGCAAACCGGTGTGCAAACACAGAATTAGATTGTATATTAAACCATTGAGGTTTTTCTTCACCTACAGTATTTTATAGTGGAGGTTTAATCTTGCAGTTGCTAATGCTGGCAGGACAGTTCCCTTTTAAAACACACTCTTTTAAGGGATAATTCTGTGTCCCACCAGCTGCCATACAACACCCATTAGTAGAGCTGGTAATTACATGTCTGTCTCCATGTACCTTAGCCTTGTAAGATACTAATATTATCCAAACATCAGTATAAAATAGCAATACTACTCTCCTTATCAAAAAATCTACAGCAGCAAAATTTTTTACTTTTATCTTAATGCTTTTTTGCAGCACTTGTTGCATTTTTAGCTTTCTTAGCTTATATTTAGTTATATGTAGCTGGAGACTTTAAATTGGCAATCCTTCTATCCTGTAAGGAACTTAAAATAATTTTAAACCATTCATATTATTTATTGCATAAAAGAGATTCTAATTTTTATTTCTGTGTCTCACGCAAATATATTGTATGTCAAAATAATCAAATTTAATACTTTTTGTTTGTTTTTACACAATATTTGCCAAATATTTTGTTTCATATCGCTACATAAATAGCTGAAGTAGAGGTCACAGTAACACCTGGAGCATAACGCAAACCAGAAGGTGGGGAACCTGTTATTGATGTCCTGTACTTGCTATCTGGGTGCTTAGGGAAAGCAAAATACTTTTTTCTCTTTCGCTGAGTCATTTTTTAAAGCACTGTGCATTGTCAAGCATCTACAATGTCTTTGCTTAATAAGAGCAATATTCTCAGAAGGATTCTGGTAACACTGAGTTGCTGTAATATCCTCTGTAGTCTCTCTATCCTGCTTTTCTGTAGACATTAATACTCTGTTCTCATTTGAAGGCTGTCTGTGAAGAAGCACTGAGAACAGGATCCCAGGCTGGCTTTCATTTGGATGCAGTTGTCTTTGGAGGAGAGGATTTCCGTGCCAGCATAGGTTGTTACTTGTCTCCTTACTATAAATGTTTATGCACAGCATTTGCATTGTAGAAGCCTGTGAAATTTCTGGCAGCAATAATTAATGACACTTGAGTCTGCATTTTATGTTTTCATTTTTCTCCTTAATTTATTTTCAGTGCGGAATGTACTACTGGCAATTTAAAACTTGGTCCTTGTGTTACAGGGCCCTCAGACTTTCTTGTACTTCGTGCCAGTCAGTACCAAAAGTTAGTGAAAACAAACAAACAAACAAACAAACAAAAAATCACACCTTGTTGAGTCACTGAAATTATTTTAAAATATCATATCTATAAACACCATTCACATGCTTTTTTAGAACTACATTTGAAAGTCCTTAAATTCTGGTGTCCGCTTCACCACTTCTTTACATACAACTGTCACTCAGGCTTTTGACATCAAGCACAAATACTTTCCTGCTACATTTTGCTTTCATAAATTTAGTTTTAAGATATCACATGTCAATACAGCCACATATTCACATGAAAGCACTATTAGTCTTCCTAAAAAATAAAAAGTGCTTCACTATTTCTTTTATGACAGGGCACTTAGCTTCTGATTCAGTTTAAAGATAAAAGATAAAAGCACAGAGCTATGAACTGCTATATTAAAAATAAGTATGTTAATGTAAAAATCAGTATTGCTTGACTAAAATATTCCTTACAGACTGAAAAATCTGTATCTAAATAGTTACCTTACGGTTATTATTGTTATTATTTTTTTCCTACTAGCCTTCACATGAGTATGTTGCTTAGCTGGTAGTCTGTGAGCGCATGAAGTCTCATGAATACTTTTGCTTCTTCTCAGAAGTCATCTACCATCAATTTTTCATTCAAATACTAAAGCTTAAATATTCAGCTTAGGACATCAGTTGTGACAAGAATCAGAACCAAGGAAAGTGCAATTCTATTCTCAGTGTGAATTTTTTAACCATTTAGTTGGACCCAGTATATCAATTTGTGCAAAGCTTCTCTTGCTGTAATGCTTCTCACTGTACATGCAGTAAATAGTAAAATCAAATCATTACTTTCGTTTTATCCAAGTCAGCAGTCCTTATCAGACAAAGCTTCCACTGACTTCAGGCTTCCAACTTCTGATTTAAACGAAATCAAAAATCTGAATTTATAAGCTAGTGTTTAAAGGGACGTTATTTTTTATTTTTGCTAAAGCAGCTTTCTTTTTTTCTTTAGAAGAGTATAATTTTGACTCTATAGTATAGCCTTATACCCCTCTTCTATTTTCTAAATCAGTTAAATAGAATCTCAACATTTCCCTTTTTTTAACATAAGAAATATTTAAAACAGAAAGGTTTAAAACACTCTTGTCAGCTTTTCTTTGTTCTTGTTATTTTCTTAGGTGCAACAAGCAGTAAGGAAACTCACGATATTCTATATGCCAGGCAAAAAATAATAGTCACAGCAAAGGCATTTGGCCTTCAAGCAATAGACCTTGTTTACATTGATTTCCATGATGAAGATGGGCTCCGCAGGCAGTCGAGGGAAGGTGCCTCAATGGGATTCACTGGTACGACTCTGCCTCAAAAGAGCGCGCGTCTTGTTCGGTTTAAATATGTCACTGCCTTTACTGTCACTTAGACAAATAACTTGATTTTTGTTTCAGGTAATTTATTGAAAAACTCATTGGTATCAAGCTCTTCTATGTTTATTATGATCTTTAAAATTGCAGCTGGAAATTTTGCCTGAAAACTCACAGACTGCTTTTTAAAACTGCATGCCATGAAGCGTGTGACTGGTTTTGAAGAGAAGTTGGGGTAGAGGCTGTGCAGTGATTCCTCCCTTCACAGAGCACAGGAGAGGCAATACTGTACTCTGCGATGGCTCCTCCACAACTGGAGCCCTTTCTCTTTGTTTGAACAACAGCAGCAGTTAAAAAATACTTTTTAGGCAAAAAAATTGAGAAGTAAATCTCATATGCTAACTGCTAGGGGAAAGTTATTTCCTTATTGTTTTCTTTGGTTTGTTTTTCATCTCCTGGCTTTCCCCCAGTAAGTGCTGGTGACACCTATGGGTATTGGCAGACAGCAAGAGCAGCAGGCTCCTTGCCCCACAGTCTTGTAATGCAGCCTGTTACCCTGTGATTGGTGTACCAGGTCACTCGGACACCTCACTGGGACAGTACAGCCACCAAAGATTGGGGGATTGCAGTAGAAATCAGCCATTTGACACATGCATTAGTGAATTCTAACGCGCAGGACGAACATTACATTCTTTTTCTCTGACCACCATGCAGGATACACATATGAGAATAGTACATCCCTTAGATTTCTGTTACCAAATCATGAGTCCTGGCAATGCTACCTAGCAAACTCTGGTTTTACAGTTAGCTGCATGTGATACCTTAAAGCACCAAACCAAAAAAAAAAAAGTGCAATTTTAAGTGACTTTGGCATGCCAGTGAAAGAATAGCAAACGATGCTTTTCGGCACAAACTCTGCTTTACTGTCTGTTGAGCTTTAACATTTGCAAACCCAAGTCTTGTTTTGGAGGTGAAATGGTTAGCTCCTCACTGCTATATCATCCACGGCCGTGTGGACTTCCACCCCTCACTCAGCTGCCTTTGAAGTTGGGAAAATAATAGAGCTGCTGAATGGTAGCACCTGCTGACGGCTACCTAGTCTCAACCAATATTTCCTAGCTTTAGGAAAGGCTTGATTTTTGAAAAAACATAAACATCTGAACCTCCTGTTGACAGAATATGGAGTTGCAGGTGCCTAGCACCTTTGAGAGCACTCTTTTTGAATGCTTAATGCACATTTAAATGCTTAACTGAGGCTGCCAATTTAGGAAATTTAGAAATGCTCAGCATAACCAATCCTGATGGTGATTTGGACTCCACTGACTTTATGGTGGAAGTTGTCTGACCTTAGAACAAGGGTCCAGACAGAAGACAAAGAAAAAGGTCACGTAGCAATTTAGGGTGTAAAATTACTTTCTGTCTTGGCTGTACATGTGTCATACTTGCCTTTCCATACAAGGATTAAGGTCTGTGAAAAGTACAGATTTTATTAAGGTGCACTCATAGTACCTGCCCTTTGCCTCCTGCCGTTTTGCAGCTATCATTAACACATTTCCAAAATTCAGCAAACAACCTGACAATCAGTCCAACTGTAATTCGAGATGGGGCAATACTGACTACTGATTTGGTGGGGAGAAAAAAAATTTAATATCTGTTTAAACTAAATCAAAACATCATTTTTCCTTTTCTTCTGCAAAAAGAAAAAAATATTTTAAGTCAATCTAAAATATTTTATTTGTTCTTTGGTTTTTTGCTCTCAGTTTATCTAATATTTTTATAAACTTTCCTGCTTACTTTGATTGAAATAAAATCTAATTTCAAAACTGATAGCAAAATCATGTTTTTCCAAACCTATACAAGTGGGTTTTTTCCAAATCTATATAAGTGAAACATTTTAACATTTCCAATTTCACATTCATCACAGAAAATTACAAATGGGCCTTAGCTTAATCGATGACCTTGTATAAAGTAGAACTATGCATATTGTATTTGCCACTGACAGTTCTCTGATAATGTGAAAGTACTGAAATGTCACCCTAATAACAAGTTCAAAATGTGCAATTCTTCTAATTTTTAAATATAAGATCCCTCCCTGCTACTTTTTTAATAAAGAATCAAAATCATTGAAATCAACAGAACTAAAATGAGCTGAGTCTTGCAAATTGCTCTCATAGCTGGAGAACACTCACTTATTTGCATGAACAGGGCTGAACTCACCACCCTCCAAAGCAATGCAAATCCAAAATATTCAGCAAAGTTATAGGTCCATAAATGTTCCCATTTTAGACCAGTAAAATTGCCCTTAATGTAATCAAATAGCTTCCCTCAAGATTAAACAAACAAAATAATATAATGAAGAATTTACCAGGTATTTAAATATTATTGCAAACCTCACTGCTTATTGCAGCCAAGTTTTCTTTTCCAATTATCTTAAAATCAGCCTGGTTTTTAAAATCAGCCTGGTTTTCCTTCAGTAAGTGTATAAACATAAAATCAAATGTTTTTAAATGTAATCCAACCAAATTAATAGTCCTTTCATTTATATTTTTATAAAATTTTATATATTTATATATCCATAGACATCCATCAAGATGTTTTACACTACCTGTGGACTTTAAATCACTGTGTTGCCTATATAAATGGGCATAGGTTTTAGGAATGTTTATGTAAAAAATTAGGTAAACCTTACCATAAGCTTTAACAGCTGACTTAGTCATTATAAAAGTCCTGTGCTACATGCTGAGAAAGCAGATATAAACGCGAAACAGTCTAGGTGTCCTCTCTTTTTCAGTCTTTTGTAGAAGACTAAAATGACACCATCATACAGTTACCTAAAAGACTTGACAAGTATTGATTTAAAACACAATATATCAAGTGGTACTGTAAAAAGGATTTCGTGGTCATAAATTTTAATGTCTTCCAATTTTGCACTCTCTCAGTAACTTGTCAATAACAACAATTCTGTTTAAAATATTTACTTCATTCCTGCATGGCATTATATCTGCAATACAGTTATTTGGATAAATAGTCTATGACAAAAATCAACCAAGTGTTATAAATCAAAAGTTAGATTATATTCTCCCTAAATTGTTCAGTAGTGTTTTAATAATTAAAAGCATAGTTTACTACTATAGGTATCTTTATCAAAAGCAAGCCTTTTTATATAAATGTTTTACACTTTAAAAAATCATATATATGTATTTTTAATTTTGTTATAATTAGAGATTGACTTCAAATATAATTTAAAATATGCTCAACATTTTTTTTCAGAAAGTTAAGCTCCTTAGGATTTTTCAAGAAATTGTTGTACACACTTCAATTTTGCAATTAATGGTTTAGCTATGGAGAATTTGTTGTATTACAAATAAGGAACATCATCAGCTTATTAATTATGGCATTTTATTAAAATTACTAAAAAATCTCTGAGTAGACCTAAGATAAAACACATTAGTTTAAAAAAATTATTCGTGTAATTTCTTTCAAAAATTATAGCTCTTAAGGGGGATTAAGCTTTTACCTATATTTAAGGTATTTTAAAAATAGTTGTGATATTGAAATTTTAAACTAATATTTGCATGCCTGTAAAATCATAAACTAAACGTTGTTTAACAAGAAATAAAATTGAGCTACTTATGGCTTTTTAGCAAAGGAACGTAGCAACACCAAAGGACTACTATTTCTTTGCTCATTTAATTAAGTAGAGGTCCTTTGTACTCCAGGTTATCACTCTGACCCACTGCAGTCTGATGAAAGCAATCCCAGGGATTTTTGCAGTGGTTATTTCGTTGAAAATAGGTGTATTCCTGCGCTCATGCGTGAGACTTCTCAGATCCAGTGATGGGCTGATCCCTAAAGTACAGCTGGCTTGGTGTCAGTGAGAGCACGGGAGCGGACCCCGTTGTGCAGGAAACCTCCAGAGGTCCTGACATTTCCAACTTTTCCTGGCAAAGTGCAAAAACCTCGCTCGCACAAGAGGCTGCGGCGGCGGCAGGGCTGTGGGACCCTCGGTCTGCAGGGCACTGCTCACTTGCTGGCAGCCTTGCAGGATCAGGCTCATCCCTCTAACTAGTTTTGTTGTCTGGCACCGAGGAGAGTCATTTATTCCGAAGGAAGCTGGGAATTACGGTAGCCTCTCTTTATTAATACGCCTTAAAAGCAAACCACAGAAATCACGCCGGTCTGTGAAATTCCCATAGAAATGGACTAATAACGTCAAACGCTGCACTTTTTAAAGTGTCAAACAAATTAGACATGTATTTGTTTTAAGGTAGCTAAATTCAATCACAGATTAAAACGGATTATGTGGCTGTCTATTCACGTTTGAAAATCTCTAGTGAAAAAGGCAACATCTATTTTTATTTTCGTAACTTATGTTTATACAAGAAAGGATTAAAAAAACTGCTTCATAAAACCTCAGGGCACTGCTGGTGGTTGTTTGCTATACCAGTGACTAAATAAATATTGCAGCCTACCTGCAACTACCAATAATTGCAGCAACAACAGTTTAAACAACATCGAGGATTATATCATGCCAAGCCAATACTGTGAATTTAGGGAATGATCCTTAGGGTACTGGTAACTTTTCAGCCCTGCTGAAATCTCTTGCCATCTTCTTCAGATTTCATTTTCTGAACACACTTTAATACAACTTATTTAAGAGTGGCTAGAGCTGTTATTTATATAGTCAAATTCAGAGATGCAGTATACTTAATTGTTATTGACTGCCCAAGACAAAACAATTGCACCTGAAACGACTGAGAGAAGATGTATGGATCAAAATGGGAAGGGAAGAGAAAGAATCGTGGGTTCTTTTAAACTATACTGAATGCAAGCATAGCACAAGGTATTCTTACTCTTAAAATAATCTATCCAAAAGCTGTCTACCTGTTTTCCAGTTTTAAAAATAAAAGAAACCAAGTAAAATAATTAGTTAGAGAGCAAGAAAGTCTGCAAGGCATATGAGAGCCTCAAGTGGTTGGAACATTTTGCTTGAACATCTGTTTGTCGATGCATGATTCTGGTATTATTAATCTTCTTTGTAGGTAAGCAGGTGATTCACCCCAACCAAATTGCTGTTGTCCAGGAACAGTTCTCTCCGAGCCCTGAAAAAATAAAGTGGGCACAAGAACTGATTTCTGCTTTTGAAGAACATCAGCGATTAGGCAAGGTAAATATTTTGTTAATATGCCATAGTGGAACCAAATTTGAATAATATTTAAGATTTAGAAAGGTCGGTGATGGCTCCTTGCTTTTATCTTACAAAGTGTGCTGTAACGAAGAGAATTGCTTGTAAAATCTGTCTCTGGATAGCATATATTATAAATTTATCACTTCCCAATATATTTAGAAATAGAATTGCTATCTTTTCCTTCCCCCCCATTTTAACTTTAATTCTTTGATTACACAGCCTTTTGAGTACCTGCAGGTATCTACAGCATCGGAGAATTAAAACTGCTTCTCCATTATGCCGCAGAATCACAGTGTTACTGTCAGAGGAAAATATTTGCAACCAAAAGTCAGGTAGCCTGGCAGAGGACTCAGACTGCTTGCACAGACATAATTTATGGAAAGAAATAAATGGATTAGGAAGCCTTCGGTTTCTAAAAGAATCTCTATGTCATTAAACCTGTTTCACTTTTGGGGGTTTGATCCCTCAAACATGCCCAGTAGTAACTGAATGTACTTTTGAGTGAAACTGCTTGCAGATTGTGGTTCTTAATCATTAAAAATGGGAATGTTTTATGTGCATTTGTACCAATTGCTGGACCTGAATTTTGGATAGAAGAGAAAGCAAATTAACACTAGAATATGATTGTTCCTAATTTAGTGCATCATTGAGTCTCACGTTTCCTGCTCTGTGGGTTTCTGCTATGTAAATATTGCGGTGGTGATGCACAATCTGTCTCCACTTTGTGCCAGTAATACTTAAATTAGGGGTCGCCTGAAGGAAGATTTTATGCTAGTTGCGGCATTGTCAGTTAATTATCTTAAAGGTTATTTGCTATAATCCAGTTTGCCTCTTTTTGAAAGAAAAAAAAGTTGCAGCCAAACATGTTTATCTTAGTCTCAGCCAAGCCTGGGCTAGTTAAAATGGAAAGTCATAATGTCAGAATGAGAAGTGCAGATGAGTGGGAATGGTTCACACGTGCTTGTGTGGCATTCAAGTAGGAGACAAATCCCTCTGGTCGAGAAGTTAATCTATAAGACTGTGCACAGGGTCTCACTTTCACTGGTGTCATATAAATGTTTTCTGCACATTTTTTTCCACTTTCTGGTGGATTAGAAAAATTGGGATGTCTGCCTTCCCTGTTGCCCTGCATTTCTGGTACTGTGGATGTTGTACATTAAAAATGCTGCAAAGGTCAAAACAGAAATTATGCTTTCTTCTCAGAGTTAAAGTGTGACAAGACATTTGCTATTGCTCTGCCCTTCTCCTATGCTGGTCTATTGCATCCCCTTTGTGGTACCTGGCTGTTTTCAGTACAGCCATGACTATGCTGTCCAGAGCAGTGATTTCAGGGTCACTATTAGGATGCTGTATGCCTGGATCTCTTTGTTCTCTCCCCCTCAATTTTGAAATGTAGCTCTCTTCATGCAAACAATATAGAAATAGAAAATACGTGACTGGTTTTGCCCATTATTCTGATTTACCAGGCTTGGCTCCCTTACAAAAGGCATCGTTACAAACATACTGCTGGTGCAAATGTGTAGGCAGGTACATGCAGCAGGAAAAAAGTCAAACGACTTACTCAGCCAAATATTTTTTTATGATGTGTTTAATACTACTCATTCAGCTGAGTTTAGTGTCAGAAACTCATCTAATGAACACCCCTGTCATATGAACAGTTGACTAGGAGACTGGACCAAATTTAACTCTAGTCCCAGTATCACACAATCATTAAGTCAAACGTTTAATATTGAATAATTTAATGTTAGGCAAGCGTTACTCTTTAGATTTGTTTTGAAGCTGCTATTTTACTGACATAATGCTGAGGTTTTCTGTTTATATCAGCTATTAAGGGGGGGGGGTTATTTGGGTTTAGGGGATTTTTTTCTCTTCATAAATGCTTTTAAAATATGTTATAAGCTTCTATAATCAGCTGCAAGAGCAAATTTGCTGAGGGTTTGTGGTGCAGGCTATTTTTTTTACCAACCAGGTTGAATGCTTCATGTATTTTTGCATGTAGCCGTCTATCAATAAAAAAGGACTGGCAGGTTAATATGTGAACTTCTGGATCTCGTAACACTGTCTCATTACTGGATTTTATAACAAAATTGGAAAAATAGTTTTCCATGTAATGCTGGAAACTCATTAACTGAGTTTCTAATTTGCTATTATGACTGCGTCAGTGAGAAGAGCTTGGACAGTCTGATTACTTAATTTTTTTTCCAAAGCAAACATATCTCACTGAGGGATCCTCTCACTCCACATCCTAACGACATGCTAAAATGTGAGTAATAACTCTTCCCCTACCACCTCCTGGCAAATGCTCCACACAGCGGTTTCAGTAATCCTCGTGTCCTAATGAAACACCTCTTCTGTTTTCCTTTCCCTTTTATTATATTAAAGTGTTCATGTCAGTAAGGCTAAAAATATAGCTGTGGTTAATATGGTTGAGACTTGCATGGTTTTACCATGTTATTAATCAAAGTTGAAAGCCTGGAAAAAATAAATGTGAGGGATTTGTGCAGCTGTTTGTGTGGTAGATAAGTTACTGTTCTGCAGTCTCTGGGATCATAGTTTGCTATTAATTTGGTTTAAAGTTTGATGCCCTTCATTAACAATATTTTATATTAAAATACAGTAATAAGCTTTTATAATCTATTCTGATTTGAGACCTACAATTACCATAATAATATTCTTTTGAAAGAAGGCTGAACGAGGCTACTTCATCCTGGACGCTGAAATGCTTTGACATAGTAGCCCCCAAATGTGAGTCCTGAGGTCAGGAAAAATTAGGATCTCAGATGAGCACTGTGGAAATAGAGATGCTGTGGCAGTGTCCAAAAAGAAGGAAATTACAGAGCTAACCAGCTAGCCAGAGGTATTTGGGCTTGCCTTACGGACATAGTCCTGTTTGAAGGGTTGCTTTGATTTGGTTTCTAGGTTGTTTCGTTTGTGGGGCTATTTTTTACATTTCTAATCTAACTAAAAATGGCATATCTAGGAAATAAATGGTAATGTTGTATTTTGAACAAGTAGAAACAAACATTGAAAAATACATTTTGTACTTTATTCAACTATTTATTAAGTGCTCTCTTTTGTCTAAAACTTTGAGATCTAAAACTGGAAAGTGCTTAAAAAGAAAAGTGTTGTTTCCAGGTCATTTCAATATTTTTCCAGTAGAACTGCCTTGCTAGGGAATATGATTTTCAAAATTAAAATATTCATCCTAAAGAAAGCAGAAAAGGCAGAAAATGTAAATATAAAATAGATGTCAGTGTGCTCAAAAATAAAAAAAAAGGTGATAAATATGATTCCAGTAGTCTAAAGGACAGTTTCTGTTTGAAATTTCTAAAGCATTTGTACATTAACCAGGGAAGTGATCTTATAAATACAGATTAATGGAATCTAAGGGGGGGTACAGTTAGTGGGAGAAGTTATTAGCCTATTTTAAGAAAAAGATCTCATTTCTAACAATGAGGACATAATAGCCTTTACTATTTAGGCAACTCCTGAGTTTTACATTACCAGTACACTGGATACAGGACTGTATCTCTTCTGTAAGTAATTAGCGTTTATATATGACAAAAATGTAAGACATTGAAAATGCGTTTTTAAGCCATTCAATGTGTAAGTGTGTCAGGCACAATATGATTATTGAAATAAAATCTTCCCAAATTGCCTTACTTTTAAATAAAATTCAAAACATAAGGAAAAGCAGAAGAATAAAGTAAAAAGTTGATTACATATTTATCTCACATATTAATTGACAAATGCTTTCAAAGCACCCACATATTAAACTAGAGAATAACTAAATGCTGCTACCAAGGTCACTTGTCAGGTAAGGATTGATTAGAGTTAAGGTAAGTATATCACAAACCCAAGTTGTAATATGGGTTGAATATTTAAATCCCATAGAGCAAATCTAAAGAAATATTTGTATATGCCACATACAAATGCACAGAGTGCTTCTAAGAAGACCTTCAGCATATGTTTCTTGCATTATATTCTGTGCCATTGTATATCATGTTCCCAGCAGCTGAGGAATAATATATTTGAACTCCAGTGATTTGGCAAGCTATACAGTTTCATTTACGGATGTTTCCAGGATTATGAAAAATCTTAGGAATGCATTTATTTACACAGCATCAACCCAACAAAGGAATGGAAATTTCCAGCAGTGGCTCTCTTATAATGCTCTTTGTTTAGGAAAAGCTATCCCAAGCCACTGTATCTTAGAGACGATGCGCCCTCGTGCTTCGGCCAGCTCCAGTTTCCACTGCCTTACAGGGAGGTCTCTCCCAGCTTTCTTCCCTCTCCTGGCTGTGCCATGGACCCCAGGAGGGCTCCCCAGCCAAGTGGGATCCACTCTATCTCAATCCAGTCCGTGGTTGCTAGGAAAGTGGGACCTCTTGGAAGGGATGCATGTGAGCTTCCCTCTCGCATGGGGCTGTACCATCAATCCACAGGGATTATATTGCACTTTACAGGGCATTATATCTCGGGGCTTTATGTAGAGCTGGGAGTGAGGGAGCAGCCCAGGCTCCCACTCCTCTTGCCCAGGACAGACTGCTGAGTTTTGAGGTGCCACCAAGCAAGCTGGATCCCATCCCAGGGTGACAGTGGCAGCACAGGGTACCTCCGTGTGTGCTGGGCTGCAGTGCTGCCAGCCCTCCCTCCGAGAGCACAGGGCATGTGCTGTCCTTTATGTTAATTAGGCAATGTGTATTCCTTTCACTGCAGAGTGGGGAATTCAGGAGTTTGTGATAAATTGCCACCTTTAAGGAGCACCAGCCTTAAGTCTAGGCTCAGGTGCATCTCTATGCAAAGATGAAGAGTGCTGGTGGGATTTAAGCATGGGCCACAGTTATGTTGTTTATCTTTTTTTAAAGTGGCCAAATGAAATTTTAATGTCAAAACTGAGATCGAGAGAGCTCGTGTTAGTACTCAAAATTTCTCTATACACTTTTAGTATTTGAAAAATGCTTTATAAATGTGTTTTG